AATTTATTAATATTATCTTTGCTTTAAAAAATATTTTCCTCATTTCCTTATTTTTTGTTTATCAAAATTTTTCTTCACAAAAAAAAAAAAAATTGATTAATTGAATATCATTTCTCTTTTTAAAAAAAAAAAGAGAGAGAGAGAGAAAGGAAAGAAAGAAAAGAAAAAGTATGTTTTATCATTTGTGCTAAAATGAATGTAAATCCCTCTTTAAATTTCCTTTTAATTTATTATCTCTCTTATCATAGATTCAAATTCACTATCGAAAAATTTTTCTAACTTATAATTCTGGCGTTTTTTTCTCTCTCTCTCTCTCTGTCTCTTAACTGTCTGTTTGATTTTTATTTTTTATTTTTTTTTAAATGTTATAATATTAACACAAAAAAAAAAGAAATATTTTTAAATTTGCATATAAACAAATGATAGTAATTAAACTGATAAGAATTGCTTATCATAAACTAAATTACTATCAAATTTCAATAATTCTTTTCTTTTTTTTTCACTCATTTTTCGACACATTAAAATAGAATATTTTATTTTTATCAAAAAATGTGATTTGGAAAAAAATAATAATAAGAAATTTGAGTTTTTTTTTTTTTGTTAGATTTCCAATCTAATTATCATTTTTTTTTTTTATAATTCTTAATCTATTGTTTCGGAAAGTTTTATACATGCAAAAATAAAATATTCCATTTTACCTTAAAAATTATTCAAATATAACTAACATATTTTTCACGTACATTATTTGATCATTTTAAATCTTAAATTTGTCATAGTATAAGATTAAAAAGATCAAATAATCTGTGCCGAAAAGTTGAATCAAATTACTTCCAAGAATTTGATATTCAACGATATAACTAATTACTTGTTTATAATTTATCATTCTCAGTGGTAATCTTATAAACTTAGTGAAATTTTCTTTTTGTTTTTTAATTGTTTAGTTTAAAAAAATAGTTTATAGTATTTTTTTTTTTTTTGATACATTGAAAATGAAATAAGTATTTAGCATTCATTTAGTGAAAAAATAATAGGTAATTATTTACTGAAAATAATAGGTAATCGTAATGTAATAGGTAATGATTTTTATTTATCAATTCTAATTTTGAGTATTTTAAAATTTTAATTTTAAATTTGACACTTTTTTTGTTAATTATAATATTAAACAGAAAAATTCAAATTTAATTCTTCTAAAGATAAACTTCCTGAAAATGTGTAAAATAGTTTAGTGAAATGTAATCAATTTACTTTCTATCAATGTTTACAAATTATTGATTTTCTTATTTCATTATGTTAATGGAATTTTTTTTTAAAAAAAAAAAAGATAAATAAATAAAAAAGTACGCTTAAAATTTTTGTGAAAACAAAAAAAGTTTTTGAAAACTTTTCAAAATTTATTTTATGTACTTTTCTATCAAACTTTTTTTAAAAAAAAAAAAAGTTTATTGTGTTATTTCATACTTGAGATGGCAGAATAACTCTAAAAGTTCATCGATAAGTTCAATTTTTAAAATTTATATTTGAAATTGAAATCGTATCCTTTAAATTTTTTTTTAAAAAAATTTCAAAATTTATAATCATTTTTGTTGATGGAATTAGAATTATAGATATTCATAATGGAATTTAAAAAAAAAGGAATAATTTTTGGTAAAATGTGTTAAAAAAAGAAAATGAAAAAATGAAAAAATACATTTTGGAATAAATGTGAGAGATTAATTATGGTAATTTTTTTTTTCTTTCAAATAAAAATTTTAAATTATTTTTGGAAATTTTTCAAATTAGATATTTTAGATCACAGAATTTAATACATCACATTTAGTTGGGTTTTTTTTTTTGTTTATTTATTTATTTTCTTTTTGATTTATTTCCTACAATGCTAAAATTGGCAAAAAAAAAATAAATAAATAAATATGCAAGTTATTTTTTATAATAGCTTTGCTAATAAATTAAAATCTTTCTTTTTTTTTTTTAAGCAATTCCTTCAAATAACATTTGAAATTATTTTGGAAAAAAAAATGAATAAATAATTTAAGCATAAAGAAAAAATTATTAAATTAATATTAATTAACTAAAATTAGATTGAATTATAATTAAGTATTAAATTTTAGATTGAAAATAAATGTAAAAATTGAATTGCATTATGAATTCTCTTTCATTAGATATAGAAATGAATTTTGAAATTTTTTTTTTTTAATTTTTCCAAAAAAAAAAAATAAATCACTAATATTTGTAATATTTATTATATTTTCACTACTAAGCAAAACATCTGGAAAAAAAGAAAAAAAGTGAAATTTAATAGAAACTAAAACTAATTATTCTTCTTTTTTTTACGCTTCAAAAATTCATTCATATTTGTCATTTTTTAAAAAATGAATTTTTCTATCTAAAATAATTTGTATGAAAATTTTTGATCAAATAAATGCAACTAGTAAACATCCATAATTTATGTGATGCATTAAGAATGTTTTCTTAAGTTACAATTTGAATATTTTTTTTTTTTGGAATTTCCCTAAAATTCTAATTCCCTAATGCCTATTTCATTTTTGAGCTTTATATAGACTTTATAACATTTAAAATTTTAATATTTTTATTAAAATTCCAATTTCGATTTTGATTTTTTCTCTTTTTCTTTTTTTTTAAAAAGAATAAATTTTTGATATAAAATACTATACAAATTTTAAGTAAGATTTTTTTTTAAATTTCTTTTCGAATACATATTGCTATCATTTATAATTCAATAATTTTACAGATTTAAAATGTGATATTTCATAGAAGATTTAATTTCCATAATTTGATTAAATTGAAAAATGACTTTAAAAAGTTGTTTAGAAAATATTAATTGAACAATTAAAGATCAACAAAAATGATTTTACTTTGATCGATAATCGATGATTGTTATCTTTTGAAAAAAAGATTGAATTTCCTAAAAAAAAAAAACATATCAATCTTGTAAACTATGAAGTTATTTTGTTTACAATATATTTGTTTACAATTGGATTTTTTCTTCTGCTCAAATTTTTGTTTATTTCTAATTTGTGATTTCTTCTAATCCTTTCTAGTATTTCTTGAAAATGAAAAATATTTAATTATTTTTGAATTCATACTTTTTTTTTTGCATTCTTTATTTGTAGTTATTAGATTTGTTTATTTCATTTCTAATAATTTTAACAGAAAAAAATTTTACAAATGAAGTAATCATTAATTTAAATCAAAATTAGCTTAAATTAAATTTAAAATTGTCATTTTCATTTTTTTTTTTCGTCAATTATTACTGCAAGTTTTATTTTGATTTTATTAAATTATTGTTAGAAATTTGTTTATTTCTACAAATTTCTCTCTCTTTTTTTTCTTTAATTTCAAAAATTTTAAGCTTAATTCAGATATTTGTATAGTTTTTTTTTTTTTTTCTGATAAAAATTATTTTTATATATTAAATTATTATTCATACAAATGTTTTTGTATGAATAATAATTTTGTTTACAAAATAGCATTCATTCTCGACGTACTAAATATTATCGTTGTTTATCATATTTGCTACTGCTATTATCATTTTAATGATTCATCTCAACCTTAGCTTTTATTTATTTTTTTTTACTTTTCTTTTCTTCCAAAAAAAAAAAAAAAAAAAAAACTAAATTCCTGAATAGTTTGTCTGTTTATTTATTTATTTTTTTTTTACCAAAAAAGATAAGCAAAGAAAAACAATTTTTTTTTTTGATTTTATTGATTAATACTAATTAATAGTGTTTTTATTTTCAGAAAAAAAAAATAGAATAATTAATTTCTTTTTTTGCAAAAAGTTAAATTTAATAAAATATTAAATTATTCTTTACCTCAATTTTAATTTTAATTTTTTTTCTTTACATTCTCTTTTCATTGTTAAAATAGAAACTTATTAGCTTTGTCTATATTCAAATATAAATTTTTTAAATAAACTAATTTGTTAATATTTTTTTTTAGCTTTATTAGCTATTAGCAAATAAAGGAAACTGTCTCAATATTCTTCAGATGTTTCCCTATTTAATATTATCTTTGATATTGTTGATAATAAGTATTTCATATCATCTAATCACTAATCATTAATCACTAAATTATCAACTTTTAAAGTTATCAACTGTGATCGAAAAATTTATATAAATATGAAAGATAAGATTAGGTTATAAAATAACAAATTGTAACACTGATTATAATGTTAGACATAAATTAAGTGTAATTTTTAATACATTTATGGTATAAATTTTAATTTTTAAAATTTATGACCTGGAATTGTAGTGCCCTTAGCGTTAGTATTTACTATAACCTATTAAAAAAGTACCATAAGAATTAAAAGTATAATAAAACCAATAGAAATTTAATTTTTTTTTTTTACAAATATTTAAAACAATGTTTTTGCTAAAGGATTCAAATTTTAAAATAAAAGCATTTTGAATATAAAAAAAAATTTTTTTTCTAACAAAATTGTCAATAGTTTGTGTAAATTTTACTTTAATTTTTAGCTTTGTTTCTTACATACTTATTTTTTGATGTGAAAATTTTTCAATATATAGTTTTAATACTTAGATAAATGAATAAAGTTTGAACATTTTTAAAATAAATGAAAAGCAAACAAAACTGATAAATAAATAAATAAATAAAAGGATGAGAATTACTTGATCATTAGCTATATTTTCTCATACATAATGATTATTTTAAATGTTAATTTATTATCAGTTCATTCATTTTGTTTTATCAATTTTTTTTCTATTCATTACTTCTTTTTCTTTTCTAATTTATATTTAGAGAATTTAGTATAAAATAGTTGTAAATAATAAAGCAATATGAAAATAACAAACAAATTTTGAAGCTAACTGTATCAAAAAGAAAAGTAAATAAATGAATTTAACAATTTTCAATTTTTTTCCTTTTTTTGCTATTTTAAAATATAATTTTTATTTTTACTTTATTTATTAATTTATTTTTCAGTGATAATATTATGTGCTTCACCAAATACTGTTCGAGAAATTATGCTTGCTGCATATGATTTAGGTATGGCAACATCCGGTGAATATGTTTTCATCAATATTGATGTTTCTACTGGGTAAATTTTTATTTTTTTTTTTTTAAAAATTTGAATTATAGATTTAAGTAAATTTTAGTAAATATTTTTTGAATAATTATTTATTTATTTATTTATTTTTGAAATAAAATTTATTATTTTATAGATCACATGCAGAACGTCCATGGCTACGATCAAATGATACAACAACATCAATGGAAAATGAAAAAGCAAAAAAAGCATATCAAGCATTAAAAACAATTTCATTAAGACGTAGTGATTTAGATGAATATAAAGATTTTGAATCACGTGTAAAAGAACGTGCCGAAAAAAGATACAATTATTCGGCTAAAACGGGTAAAGAATATGAGGTAAATAATAATAATTATTATTGTTAAATATTTTAGTAATTAAATGAAATTAATTTGATAACAAATTTAATTTAACTTTCTCTAAAATAAATAATTTTTATAAATGTCGATTTTTTCTTTTTTTTTTTTTTCTCCTCTCATTTTTATTCATTTTGAAAAATTTATTATATTAAAATGGTTTTTTATTATATTAAAAATTTACTCATTTTTATTCATTTTGGGAAATTTATTATATTAAAATGGTTTTTTACTATATTGAAGTAATTTTTTACTATATTAAATTAATTTTTTACTATATTAAAGTAATTTCTTACTATATTAAAGTAATTTTTTACTATATTAAAATGGTTTTTTACTATATTAAAGTAATTTTTTATTATATTAAAGTAATTTTTTACTATATTAAAGTAATTTCTTACTATATTAAAGTAATTTTTTACCATATTAGAATGGTTTTTTACTATATTGAAGTAATTTTTTACTATATTAAAGTAATTCTTACTATACTAAAGTAATTTTTTACTATATTAGAATGGTTTTTTACTATATTAAAGTAATTTTTTACTATATTAAAGTAATTTTTTTACTACATTAAAAGTAATTTTTACTATATTAAAGTAATTTTTACTATATTAAAATGATTTTTTTTAAATTAAAATTTGCTGACATAAAAATTTAACATTTTTATTAATTTTTAAAATATTTACTTTATTTATTTTAATGTTTTTTTCCTTTTTTATAGATGAATAATTTTATTAGTGCATTTTATGACGCACTTTTGCTTTATGCAATAGCATTAAATGAAACACTCAGTGAGGGCTTGGATCCACGCAATGGATATAATATAACAAGTAAAATGTGGAGTCGAACTTTTGTTGGTAAGTAAATTTAAACTTTAAAATTTCTCCCTTTCTCTCTCTCTCTCCCTCTCTCCCTCTCTCTCTGTTTTTGGAAATGTATTTTATGAAAGAATTTTATAAATACTTAAAACTTCTTTTTTTTTTTTTGTTTTGTTTACAATTTGTGCATATTTGTAAGAAGTCTAGGAAATTTGATCTTTTTATTAAATCGATAAAGTATTACTAATATTTTTTTTTTGATTACTTATTTGAATTAATATTATTTTCTACAAAAATTCCTTAATGATAAAAATTAATTTAACAATAATTACTTCTGTTATTCTCTTCTTTAATACCTTTAATGAAACTAACAATAATTCATCAATTAATAAAAAAAAAAACAAAATTGCTTGTTAGTTTTCTAGAATAAGAAAGACTTCTAAATCTGTTATTGATTTCACAAAAAAATAAACAAATAAATAAAAGGTGCAGAAACAAACATAAGTTTAAAAAAAAAAAAGAAAAAAGAAATTTCTGGTCAATTCTGATAGCGATAAATTACTTTGGAAAGTAGATGATAAATATTCATTAGTAATTTTAACTGAAAATTTTATCTACATTTTCAACAAATTTCCTATCTATTAAAAAAACCCTATGTTTTATTATTGATTTCACAAAAAAAAAAATAAATAAATAAATAAATTAAGAAAATTATTACCTATCATATTTTTAAAATACTTCATTTTAATTTGAAATTAGCTAAATTTTTTATTTCAGTCATAAATTAAAGGACAATAGCACATAATTGATAATGTAATTATTATAAACTTAGAATGTACTTTAATAGAATTACAATAAAAAATTAATTTTCCATATGTAAAATAATACATTGAATATTTTTATGTTACATTCTGATTTTGATAAATTATCATTAAAAAATCGAAAAAATTTGTTTGTAGTTTTTTTTTCTTTTTTAACAATTCTAATTATGAAAATTTTTTTGTCAAATCATTCCAGGTGTATAATCATTCCAGGTTTGTCAAATTATTTAATTATTGTTTAATATTTAATATTTTAATTAATATTTGATTTTTTTTTCAGGTATTACAGGTAATGTTTCAATAGATGAGAATGGTGATCGTTATTCGGATTATTCATTACTTGATCTGGATCCACAACAAGATAAATTTGTTGTTAGTCTTTTTTAATCTTTTTTTTTTTTTTTTCAAAATTTTTCAAAAAATCAAATTAAACTCTTACATTGATAATTTCAGTTAGTTTTATCGATTGTTTTTCGAAGAAAATTAATTGTTTAAAATAATAGAAAAGAATAATGTTTATACTTTTAGGAGGTGGCATATTATTCAGGTGCATCAAATGAATTAAAACAGGTAACAGAATTTCATTGGGTTGGTGGTAAGCCACCAAAAGATTCACCAATATGTGGTTGGGATCATTCAAAATGTCCTGAAGGTTATCCATTTTATGTATATTTGCTCAGTGGTTCAACTATTTTCATCTTAATTCTCATGTCTGGTTTCATCTATTTTTGGAGGTTAGTTTAATTTTTTTCTATAATTTTAATTGAGAAAGTTTGTAAACATTTTCAACAACAAAAAACACAAAAAAACAAAACAACAAGACTAAAGTTTTTTTTTTGAATTTTTATGGTATGTAATTTTAACTATAAACATTCTTTAAATTCATAAAATACCTCTTTAATTGATAATTTCTTTTTTTTTTTTTTTTTTTTTTTGAAAACTTTGCATTGCTTTAGATTTGTTAAGAAACAATAATTTTTTAAATTTAAAATGAGCCAATCATATATATATATATATATATATATATATATATATATATATATATATTTTTATGTTAAATAATGATAATTGGTTAAATTAAACATTAAATGCATTTTTGATATTCAATTTTAATTTATTATTAATTATCAATTTTTTTTAATCATATTATTATCTAACTTAAATCATTTTACTAAATTTTAGAAGATATCGTTTGGAAGCTGAATTAGCTGCAATGTCATGGAAGATTCGTTGGGAAGATTTAGATGGTGATGAATTAAAAAAAGATAAAAAGAAGAGTAGACGAGTACGACGATTACATGGTTTTAGTTTTGAATCTGAAGCATTACTTCGATCTTATAGTCGTACATCAAATGGCAGTGAAAATGTTTGAATTTTTTTTGATTTCTTTTTTTTTTTAAATTTTTTATTTCTTTAAAAAAAAAAAGGTTTTTTTTTATGTTTTTCTATTCAAATTTTTTCTAAAAATTTTTGATTTTTAATCATAATTAATAGTAAAATTCATTAATACATAATTATGTGCAATTATTGTTGGACAAAAAATTAACATATAATGATAATTAATAATTTTAAATAAAAGAAATAATTAATAATTTTTTAAATATTTTTCTTTTTTTAACTTTCAAAAGAAATAGTAAGTTATAATAAATTATTTGGAATGAAATAGTAAGTCATAATTTTTGATATTGTAATAAAATATGTATATGTTTAAATTGAATGTATCAAATTCTGAAAGATTTTGTTTATAATTTGTATTAAAAATTATCATTAGGATAAATCTTACTTTTACTATTTTTATAAAAAGTTTCAAGAAATAATCAATGAGTAAAGGTATAATATGTTAATGTTATAATTTCAATATTTTTATTATTATAATTTAATTTACATTTCTCTCTCTCTCTCTCTCTCTCTCTCTCTCAGTCTTTCTCTTTTTTTCCTTTTTTTTTCTGAATATTAAATATTGAAATTATAGTTTAGATTCAATTTGAATGCTTTAATTATATTTTATAGAAGTTAATGAGGAATTTAAAAATTTACCTTTTAATTTCAAAAAAAAAAAAAAAGAAGTGAAAAAAGCTAATAAAACTTTACTAAAATTATACATCGAAAGAAAATGTAATGTTATTTCTTAAATTAAAATTCTATGAATGATTTAGATGAAATTTAAGAACAAAAAAAAAAAAAAAAATGTTGAAATTATAATTTTATTTCTATTAGAAAAAGATTAAATCTTCATAAAACTGTTAGTGAATAAATAGCAATTATTAGTGGTTATTTTTTTTTTTATTTTAAATAAGTTTTATAAATTTTTTCCAATTATCTTATCTTTCTGAAAGATTTTTGTAATAATTTTTTTTTTTATTTTTTTGAGGGAAGGGGGGTAGAGTTAAGAGTAAGAAGGAATGTTAGTATTAATATGCTAAATATAGAATTTTGGGATAATCTACTATCATAATAATTACTACTATCGAAATAGGTAGGTTTTTTTTTTTTTTTTTTTTGGAAATTTAAATTTGTCAAAAAATTTTTGCATCAATTCAATTTCTGCAGTTGGATGAGGACGAACGAGAATTCAGCATTGGTCGCTTTAGATTGGTATGTTAACTATCCATTAAATATACTATATTATCTCCCATATAAAATTATTCTTCCTTATTTATTTCATTTTCACCTACGCTTTTTTTTTTTTAAGTTAGAATAAAAATTAATTTAAATTTTTGATAAAATATCCCGGGTGACGACATGGCTGACGACTAATTGAAGTTATTTTAATTTTTAATGCTTTTCTCTCTCTCTCCCTCTTTCCCTCTCCCTCTCTCTCTCTCCTTGCTATTAAATTTCGCTATAAATTTTAACTTCAAATTCCATCCACAATAAATATATAAATGTTATTTTAATAGAAGAAATATTAAATATATTGGTGAATTTCAAAAATTAAACAGAAATATTTTTATGTAAATAATGTAGAAAAATTTTGAAATTTTTTGTTTCATAGTGTATAAAATATGCAAATTTATTTTTTTTTTTTTTAGATTAAAATTTTTAAAGTGTATCAAATTTTGCATGGATTGAAGTGAAAATTTATAAATTTTTGGCTTAAATGCATGGCTTAAATTAGCTTTTTATGCATTTTAAAGGCAAAAAGAAAAAACAAAAACTATAGTTATTTATATTTTTTCAATTAGCTAATTTAAGTTTTAGCATCGGAAAAGCAGCTTAAATGCAAGAGGAGAGAAGAAAATAAATAAATAAACAAAAAATGTAGATGGAATGATGCTATGCTACTATCATTACTAATCCAACTAATAAAATTTGAAATATACTCAGCTAACATTGATAAAAAAAATTTCTTTTAAATTTATGAACTTATCTTTTAATTTATTATTGCTTAGCCATAATATAACACAGTATTGCCATCTTCTTAACATAATAATAAATTACTTTATCACACACTCTTACACACACAAAAAGTGACGAATATTTATAATTTTTTTAAGCTGAAATTTTAGGCTAAAATTAAATTGTGACAGAATAAAATTGCTTTCTTGGATTGTTGATTGATAATTCTATTTTAAATTTTTGTAGCATGATATATAGATTTGCATATTTTAATTGTTGCCAATTCATTATTTTCATTTAAATTCTAATTATGCTAATATTTTGAACATAAATTGCAGATTTTAGGAATAAGAATAATTCGTTCTTCATTTCTATCGAAATTTTATTTTAGAGCTATGCATGCATATAAGTTTATTTAAATTTCATTTTTACATAAATATTAATTTAGAAAATTGATATTTATTATCTTTGATATGATTGTGATTGTTTTTTTTTTAAATAATATTTTCTTTCAAAAATGTAAAAAAATTGTTACAAAATAGTGAAGTTTTGTCTGAAATTGTTTACACGATAAGTGTGATAGTATAAACAATCAAACATTTGATAATTAATTTTAGGAAGTGTCGCCAATATCCAGTGGTAAAGCAGTATGGGTTAGTTTGCTAAAGTTTGAATATGTTTTTGAAATTGTAAATTTTAGTTTGTTAATGGTTTTTTTCTTTTTTTTTTAAGCACTTCCTAAATCTAATCTTTATTATATATTTCAATTTAATAATGCATGTTTGCACATATTTCTTATTTATTATCAATTTTATCTCTTTCTTCATCCTGTCTTCCTTTTTTTTTTCTCGAGATCTCTTTAATTAATTGATTTTTTTCCTCGAGATCTCTTCTAATTTCATTAATTAATTGATTTTTTTTCTCGAGATCTCTTCTAATTTCATTAATTAATTGATTCTTTTTTTTTGGTATAAATTATATCATATTATTTCGTATATGCGAAATAAAAAGAAAATTAGAATTAGTATGAATTTATTTTATTTAAAAAGATTTCATCTTTTTTACATTTGTAATATTAAAATCTTGACTTTATTACACACTGTCATTGATTGTAAAAATGAATTTATTATAATTATAATTAAGTTATTCTTTTCTTAATAATTTGTATAATTGTATGATTGTTGATGTTATCTTATTCATATTAATTTAAATATTACTAATATATTAATTTTCATATTACTAATAGCTAAAAGCTTATAATATTAACATTTAAATTAATTAACAATTCTAACAAAAGCATGTATAACAAGTATGCATGTATTAACAACTAACATTAAAATTAATGATAAAATCAAAAATTTTCAAGCAAATCGATGACTTTTTCCTTTTTCTTTTTTTTTGCTATAATTTAAAATTAAAAATTAAAATTTGCATAGAGACTGACTAAAATGTGATTAAATTTGATGGATTCTACTAAATCGTTCCTTTGCACAACTGTTACATTCTTAGAAATATGCAAATTAAATTTATAACTGAAAGATTTAAAAATTATTTTATTATAATTTTATAGCGGAGTACCAGTTCTAATGCAACTCGCAAATTTTCGGCTTTGATTGATCGGAAATTAAGTATGTTTACTCGAAAGAAGAATTCAAATCATCAAGATTCAACGCATATGGTTCAAAATCATGTCAGCAAGGTATGATTAATTTATTTGCATTATTTTTGAAATGAATTACTGATAAAAGGAACTAATAACAAGTATATTAGTCCGGAATAACTATGAATTTTATCACCTGAAATTCTGTAATATTATTCCGGAATAACTATGAATTTTATCACCTGAAATTCTGTAATATTATTCCGGAATAACTATGAATTTTATCTTCTGAAATTCTGTAATATTATTCCGGAATAACTATGAACTTTTTCACCTGAAATTCTCTAATATTATTCTGAAATAATTATGAATTTTATCACCTGAAATTCTAAATTTAAAATTATTGTCAAGAATATATATTTTTGATTTTATTATTAGGATTTTGATCATAAAATGGATGCAATATCACGTTCTGGACAATATGCAACGATCAGTGAAGGTATCGAACCGAAAGATTATGATCCGGCAGAGGGTGGCGAAATACCATCACCACTTTCTTCAATTTCTAATCCGAAACGAAAATCACCCGGTGAAGATGATTTCGATGTACACGCCAAAAAAAGTCTTTCGTTACGTAACCGGAAATTATCATTTGCTGGGCTTAGCATTGGGGTATTCTTTATTTTTCATACAAATTTAATAGGTAGATTTTAATATGATATTATAACTGTATAAATAAATATAAATATTTTAAAATAAATTTCAAATTAATCTTCTTCATGGTTTTTTTTTATGAAATTTTTATTTGAAAAATGCAAAAAAGAGCTGTTTTTTTTTTTTTTTTTTTAGAGTGGAGGTTCAGTGGAAACAATACAAATGCAAAATAATGTACAAATTTATACAAAAACTGCTAATTATAAGGTTAGTTAAGTTATTTGATAAAATTGAATAAGTGTTTAGGATTGTGAAAAATTGCTATTTTAATCTGATTTCAATCTTTTTTTTCAATTTTTTTTTTTTCAAATAAAGAGGAATATTTGTTGTTTCATATGTTTCTTTTATTCATAAATTTTCATTTCTCATTTTAGGGTACAATAGTTGCTGTTAAGAATTTGAATATTGATCCAAAGAAATATCCGAAGTTAGATTTAACTCGTTCTATGTTAATGGAATTTAAACGAATCAAAGATTTACAGCACGATCATATTACTAGGTTATATTTTCTATTATAATAAATCTAATTGAAAAAAAAAGACAACATATTCTGAAGTTATTCTATTGGTAGGATAATTTTAAGTCTGTGAGATTCATATTTTCGAAGTATTTAAAGGATTATTTTAAATTTAGAATTTTTGACTCTTAATCAAAAGGTTTATTCTTTAGGTATTTTTATTTTTTTTTTTTGTTTTTTATATTTTGTTTTTAAATATAATTATTTCATTTTTGTTTTGCTTGGTATTGAATTATTGTTTTTTTCTTTACTTGTTTATTATGTTTTTTTTTTTTAATTCTATTATTTTTTTTTATTTTTTGTGTTTTGGACTTGAAGTTATTCTATTTAAATTTGGACCTTTTTTTTTTGTCCAACAAAATTAATTTCTTCCTTCAATTTATCTTACATATTATATTAATTAATGAGAATAGCTATTATATTAATGAGAAGTTAAGAAATTTTATTCGATTGATTTTATGAAAAATTTTTCAGATTTACTGGAGCCTGTGTTGATTGTCCACATTATTGTCTGGTGCAAGAGTATTGTCCCAAAGGATCTCTGGAAGATATTTTAGAAAATGAAAAAATTGAATTAGACAAAATGATGAAGTATTCATTATTGCATGATTTAGTTAAGGTTAGACTTTTTGTTATTTTCATTCTTGAAAATTTTTTTAATTTGCTAATATTTTATTTAAGAATAATATTGATAATAAATTATTAATATATAAGCAATATGGATACAATTTCTTGTTTTATATTTGCTAATTAAATTATGACAAACTTCTAAGATATAACTGAATTGAATTGAATTCAGTTGTAAATTAAATTTTAAAATCAATAAAATAAGAAAATAATTATTTAAAGGGTATGTATTTTTTGCATAATACATTTGTTGGTTCTCATGGTAAATTGAAATCATCGAATTGTGTTGTGGATAGTCGATTTGTCCTCAAAGTTACCGATTTTGGTTTTCATGAATTGCATGCAATGGAAGATGAAAATACCGATGAAATTGGTGAACATGCTTTTTACAAAAGTAATACTTATTTTTTTTTTTTAAAATATATTAATGATTATTATATTTTAATGCTTCTTTTGAAACTTATATATTTATTTCTCTTTCTTTTTTTTTAAGGAAAATTATGGACAGCACCAGAAATATTACGGAATCCGAATGCATATCGAGCAAATGGTACAAAAACGGGTGATGCATATAGTTTTGCTATAATATTACATGAAATGTTATTTCGTAAAGGTGCCTTCTATATGAGTGATGAACCATCACCAAAAGGTATAGCTAGCTAATATTTTAATTTTAATTTATTAAAAGTGATCAGTCAGTATTTATATTTTGAATATTTTATGTATATATTTGTGATTTTTTTGTTCTACTAGGTTACATCAAATAAAAATAAAAAATCAAATCAAATTAAATTGTATTATAGAAATTTGTGAACGTGTACAAAGAGTACCAGCATTTGATGAGGAATTGTATAGGCCAGAAATACCAGAAAGTGCCTTAATTGATGGTCAAATTGAGCCAAACCTGATTAATTTGATGGTCAGTTGCTGGGCTGAAGAATTTCACGAACGTCCTGATTTTGCTGTTATTCGAAAAGTAGTTCGATCATTGAATAAGTTCGTCTATTTTTTTTTGTTTATCTAATTTCCATTTTAAAATGACAGTTTAGAATCTATGTTAATCACTCTATGTTTGTTAAAAAAAATTTTCTCATTACTATATTTGCTTTATGATTATTAAACTATTTTGGTGTTAAATAATTTATTGAAATTTTTGCTCTTTTTATTTATTGAAATTTTTGCTCTTTCTAGAAAAAAGTAATTTGATTATTTATTGGAAAAATTGAACAGAAGGATTCAGTTTTTCAAATTTTTGACATTTTAATGCTATTCATTCATTTGTTTCTTTTAAAATGATTTTATCACATTATTAAATTTATCCATTGATGTTTATGATTTGTTTTTATTTTTTTCTAATTTAGAAGTAACGAAACATCTAACGTTGTGGATAATTTATTAAAACGTATGGAACAATATGCAAATAATTTGGAAGGTTTAGTAGAAGAACGAACACAAGAATATCTTGCTGAGAAGCAAAAAGTTGAAGATTTATTGCATCAATTGTTACCACGTAGTGTTGCTGATCAGGTAAATAATTCTATTATTTTATAATGCTTTTTATAAATATTTAAATATTGACACCTGTTAATATCACTATGTTTTGTTATCTTATTAATTTCTGATATGTTAGTATATTGAAATATAATAAATTTTATTATTAAAAAGTTTATTTATTATCTTTTCTTAGTTTTTTTTTTTTTTTATAATCATCTTTTTTCATTTTTCTCAACTTTTTATAGTCTTTTCTTAACTAAAATTGCAGTTAATAAGTGGATGTGCTGTGCAAGCAGAAGCATTTGAAAGTGTTACAATTTATTTTTCCGATATTGTTGGCTTTACAGCACTGTCATCAATGTCAACACCAATGCAGGTAATAACAACTTTTTTTTTTTTTAAACAAAATTATGAATCGAAATTTGTTAGTTTGTTTGATTTAAATGTTTGCATATATAATATTTCATGATTGCTGTATTAATAATAGTGATTGAGTTATGTCAAAATTAAACTAAACTAAAAAATATATGATATAGGAGCTGTAAGCAAGAAATGAAAAATCGAAATTAAATTAAAAATATATGATATAGATGTTCTAAGCGAGCTAGGAAATAGTTTTGTTTTGTCATTATTGAAATGATATTATTTAACATTTATCACCTGATATATGCTTGATTTTTCTTTTTCTTTTATTAATTTTAGAAATTTCTAGTAATGTTAATTAGAATTAATTAAACATAAATTCCTATATATAGAAAAAAAAATATTGCTATTTCCAAATATTTATTGTTAAATTGATTACAGGTAGTAACTCTATTGAACGATTTATACATGGCATTCGATGGTGTTGTGGATAATTTTAAAGTATATAAGGTAGAAACAATTGGAGATGCATATATGGTTGTATCCGGTTTACCTGAACGTCATAATCATCATGCTTCACAGATTGCTCAGATGTCATTGGCTTTGTTGCATAAAGTGAAAAATTTTGTCATTAGGCATCGACCAAATGAACAATTGAAACTACGAATTGGAATTCATTCTGGTTTGTTTCAAAAATTTTTTTGTATTTTTTTAGAAATTGTTAAATTACTTATATAATATTAGCTTGACAGAGTGCTGAAGTTTTAAGACAAAAGTATGTTAGATAGATAATTCAAGAAAGCACACTGATCAGCTAAATGATTTAATTAAATTATTTACTTAAGATTATCGAACTGATCAGTATATTTAGCCTTAATTTTATTCCTAGATCACTTACAAAAAATTTTTACACAGCTTTATTCATCAGAAGGTGCTTTTCTGAGCAACTGGACTACCTTCATATGGATTCTAGTTTAGATTTCAAAAACTCAAAACTTCCAAATAAAAATTTGGACAATTTTTGACTTACATTAGACAATTATACTTGAATATATATTTTATTTTCAAGGACCAGTGGTTGCTGGAGTGGTAGGATGTAAAATGCCACGATATTGTTTATTTGGTGATACAGTAAATACGAGTAGTCGAATGGAAAGTACTGGTTTGCGTAAGTTTTTTCTTTTTCTTTTCTTGTTTTATTAATTTCATATTTTATTTTTTTATTGACTTCGAGATTTTAATTCAAAAATTATCGTAAACTGCATTTTTTTTCATTATTTAAAATAAAATATATATATATATTTAAGAAAAGCTTTTATTCTTTTCTAATTTCTAAATCAACTTTTTATATTTATTTATTTTTTGTTGAACAAGAAGTAAAAAAAAAAAAAACAAAATTTTTTTTTAGCACTTCGTATTCATGTAAGTAGTCATACAAAGACTATCCTGAACAAGGAAGATCCAGGGTTTCAATTGGTACTTCGTGGTGAGGTAGAAATGAAAGGTAAAGGAAAACAAATAACCTACTGGTTAAAAGGTTACAATGACATTCGTATTCCTGATTTTGGACCGGAATTTGAATAATCCTTTTTTTTTTTTTTTTTGCTGTTTTTCTTGAAGGATGCCATTATTTTTATTCTTCTTCTTTACAAATCAATCACTTTCAAATATTAATATTTAACATTTATACGATTCCATATTACCAACTGATTCAGTTTTTTTTTTTCCTTCCAATTTTGAAATTTTTAAAATAAATTTTACATATTTGACTCATTCGGGTTTTTATTCCCTTCGTTATTGATGAAAGTGATATTCTAGTAATTTACTAAAATGTAAAATGAAATTCGATATTCTCAAAATCAGATTGTTTCTTAGCAGAAGGTAATTGACATATGATTTGATGGTATTAAAATTTTCAAATAATTGATTAATTAATACTTCTGGTTTATAATAATTTATTGTTTTATTACAAATCAAATTGCATTTTGATTTTTAAGGGTTCTTTTAATTTGTGATAATCAATTTAATTCGTCTATTCTAAAGAAAGGTAAAATTGAAATATATTGAAATAGATTTTGTAAACTTGTATTGACAAATTGACAATAATATTTAAAATATTGTGCAAAATTCTTTTAGTACTTGCATTTTGTAATAATTTTTTGAAGTGACACCTCATAATACGGGTTCAGTTGTTTTCTTTCTTAGTTTCATTTTTTTTTTTTTCGTATGTTAAATTTAAACTTCACTTTTTATTTTTTATAAAACATTTAGGGAATCATCAAGCAATCACTATATTTATTGAAATATATATAACTGATAAATTCATTCCATTAAAAAAGAAAAAAAAGGGAAAAAAAATGTTTGATCTTATGAATATAAATTAAAATTTTATGTTTGACTAAATTCAAATTTTCCTTATAAAATTAATTAACTTTTTGAAATTATTCAAAATAAGCCAGCCAGTAATACAATCTAATGCTATATGCATTAAATTTTTAAGAATTGAACTCATTCATTCATCCATTGTTTCTAGTTTAACTTAAATTTAATTTAATAATAATTCGTTATAAATTATGTAGTAAACAAAACGATCGATCTATCAGTTAAAATCCGGTTCTGTCCGGAATCTCTTCTCTTTTTGTTGTTTATTTCATTATTTTAGCAAATGGATTATTTTAATTTAACAATAATACATTCTTTCTTCAATGATTATCTATTAATATTTTAAAATTTTGCAAAAAAAAAGCATTACATTTCAATTTTAATTAAATTTGAGAAATTTTGATTAATCAAATTCAAAACGAGTACGAAATTTCAATAATGAAAATTGGCTTATATCTCTAATTTTAATGTTTCTTAAATATCTAGCCTATATGTTTTACAAATATTGCAAAATTTTTAAATCTCTAAAAAACTATTTTTAAATTATACGCAAAATTAGTATGTCTTTTTTTTTAATTGAAGTTATGTAATCCCATTTGATGTGCTGCCATTTTGTTTCATTTTTTGACATATAGAGTTTTATGATTATGATCTCGAGAAATTCTCGAAAAAAAAAGCAACATTTTCAATCATGCAATTATAATGTGATAATTTCTTTTTTTTATAGCAGCGCATGCGTTTGGCATTACATTTCATAAAATTTTAATATGTAATTAAAATTTTCATTATGCTTTTAAATTATACTTTTTTTAAGTTTGTTTCTATTTTATTTTTTCTTATATATTATGCATCGTTTCTTTTTTTTTTTATCTTTTTTGTCGTTATTTGTGGTCTTTGATTATTGAAAGAAGTTTAAATTACAGGAAATTGCTCAAGGTGCCATTGTGAAAGAAATATGTTTTTTTTTTTTTTTTTTGGTTTAATTTCTGTTTATTATAATTATATATCGTAAAATATATATATATTAGCTTCCGGTTTGCTTTCTTTCTTTTAAATTATCTTTCTTGTTTAGGACACTTCGTTTTTTTTTTTATGTTTATTCAATGTTGAATGTGAAAAAGGAATATAAATAATATTTGTTTATATTATTATTTTGTTCATCTTGTTGATATGAAGTTTTTTTTGAAGAAAAAAAAAAATTTATAAATAATTAATTTAGAAGATAATACAAATTTACTGTGAATGATCCGAGTTTGTAAGAAATTAGCAAATCTTAATGATTTGATCTATGCATCGTTTTCTAATTAATTTTAGAAGAAATTTCGCTTTTATGTAACAAATAAAGTTTAGTGAAGGAGAAGAGAGAGAGATAGTTATGATCTGTAGAAATTTCAAATTTAAATTAAATCAAACTGATGGATAGTGGATGATCTTTCGTGTTAATTAGGTTATCAGTACAGTGAAGAGCGAAGCTGAATAATTGATCTGTTGAAGAATGCTTTATTTGATGGGTAATTCTTATTGTTATCGTAAATTTACAACGTCAATAATAACTTTATGATTCTCTTATTGCTCTTATGCAGTAATAAGAAAGAAATGAATAAATTAAATATTAAATTATGCCAATAGTCCATTAAATGCTCGTTGAACTGTCGTACCTTTGCTGCACCATCGTTTGTTGCAAGTGAATTGAGTGCATGCATGCATGCATGCATGCGTGCGTGCGTGCGTGCTGCAATGAATTGAATGGAAGCTTAGCTTACAGTATTAGTGCTTTTAGCTTTTATATAGTGCACATTGGCTTATGACAAAGGACACAAATTCGAGTGATCTTTGCTCTTTGACAGATTGGCACTGTGTCAAACTGTGAATTTGAAAGAATTCAACGAATTTCAATGATTCATTGCAAGTGAAAAGCATTAACAGATTGTAACAGTAAAATGTTTTTGAGATGAATGTTGGATAAATGATTTGTTAATTTGAAATGAAATTTTCAAAAATTATTTTACATTGTTTTAAAGAATATTCAAATAAGAACAATCTTTAATCTATGAATTTCTGTCTTTTTATAGATTTAAATACAAAATTATTTCGATATATCAAAAATTTACTTCGATTTTTTGACAAAAAGACTCGAAGAGATATTTACTAAATAATAAGAAGAATTTTCACATCCATAAATCTTTTGAATTTCACTCAAATTATTCATTTATAAGCAATGAACAAATAACAACAATCATTTATGAAAAAAATTTTATAAAAATTTTGAATGAGAGGAAAATTCCTTATTAAATCAGAGATAAATAATGGCTGATGAGTTTGAGAAGTCGGATTTTTCTCCTTTCTTTTTATTCGAAAGAATGACGATAATTGCACCTCGAACATTTCAGAATTTTCTTTGTTCCTAGCAAATCGCTATAAAATTGAAATTTATGACAAAGCGATCGATCTTCAATCTTTCTAGATTTCCGGTGAGATTTTATGAATGCAGGAAGGTACTTTGCCAGATTTCATCTTTGTGTGATCTTGAAAGTCTCTTCGTTGAAAATGTTCACATCGTCGGTTGAGAATTAAGGTTTCACCTGTGAGAAGGGAAGATATAGGTCGGTCATCCGGTCTGTATCGGTCCAAACACTCTTTTCAGGCTCTGCCAATACCGGAGTCCATGCATAGCTCAAATCTTTGTTCTTGATGACCCGAACTTCTTTATTGTATGCAAGACAAAGGTGAGAGAAGTATATTTGATGTCTCTGCTTGGATATTAAATTATGCCAATAGTCCATTAAATGCTCGTTGAACTGTCGTACCTTTGCTGCACCATCGTTTGTTGCAAGTGAATTGAGTGCATGCATGCTATTTTAATCAGATCAATTCTCGAGTTTCTTTGAGAGTACCTTGGACATTGCAGGATGCTATTTATATTGTTAAAGTGTTGCAGAGGTCACAAGTCTCGTTTACTGGAAATTATAGCAATTTCGAAATTTGTGATCTTGAAAGTACTTCATTCTTTCTTGAAATGTTTGCGTTTGACCTAAAAATGAAAATTCAGTTTGATCTGTTTGACATTCTACACTTGGCATCACTTCGATCTGACAGATATACGCAAATTCTTTTCCGGAAAATTAGACTACCTTCCTGTAAAAGGTAATCGTAAAAGGTATGCTGTTCTGCGCTGAACTCTAATACGAAGTGTTATACTTTTCAAGCTTATATTTGCCTATTATTTCATTCCAGGTTTTATGGTTTTTTCCTATTCTGTCATTGAAGTCACCAAGGATTATGATTTTAATCTGCAGAAACTCTTCGATATGAGAAATCAGTTTGGAATTTGAATTCTACAATGGAATGGGTACGATGATAATTAAATTGGAGTGACTTGTTGACAAATTAACAAGATTAGACTGATTCAGTTCTCGATAATGCTTATTCTCAAGTAAGCACTTCGATTTTCAATTTACCTGGCAAGAGAGTATATAGCAACTACCTGTCTCTTTATACAAACGAATTTCACTGATTTGTAATACTTCGCGGACAATTAGAGCAAAATGAGACCTAGGAAGTCTTTATTCGTATCACCAAGCATAATTGTAATATTTCAAACCTGAATATACTTTCGGGCATATATGCCTTTGTTTTGATTTGACCGTGGCAGAAGATACCCGTTGGCTGCGGTTAATAAAACGGGTAGGATGTAAAGATGAACTTTGGTTAAGTCTCGTGTGGAGCAAACTGTGCTGTTCTCGAAAAAGACTGCTTGCGTCATCCAGGATGTCACCGAGTAAAATAATAATAATAAGTGACAAAAATTGTGAAACTTCTTTTGGCACAAAAACCTAATTATACCTGCCAAAAGCTTCATTTCATATCTAAAAGATATGAAGTAGGAGGTTATTATGTCTGACCACCATATTTTATTCAACTAATAAAAGATTTGCAAATGTTTTTTCTTTGAACTATGGAAGAAAACTCTTCTGCATAAGAAAATGTCATCTCTGAGGTTAACTTCGAGTAAGCAAAATTCTGCACCACCTGTATAAAGGATTGAGTGTACGACTTCTAGTGCACCTTTCATTTGCAATTTCGTCTCCTACCTGTCGCCACAGAATTTGGTGAAACCAGGATATCCATTGAATGTTTTCTAGATAAGTTGAAATATATGCAGAACTGGTCTCGTGCATTACAACTTGAATTCATCTTACCTTGACAAATCATTCTAGTGAATGATGGTAACATATTCTTGACTTAACATCTATTAGTAAGTGAGTAGAGTTGATTTAATATCGTACAAATTATCTGCAATTGAATAATGATAACATATTCTTTATCGATCATCTGTTAACAAGTGATAACAGTTGATTTAATTAATTTCAATTAATCAGAAACCCTTATCATTACTTAACTTCCCAATTTATTTCGCTATGATTTCTTGATATGGTCATTGCTAAATTGATAAGTAATTTCATTTCTTCTGCAATATAGTATCACTGTTTATATCAGTTTGTTGATTTTCTTGAATCTCACTTTTTCTGAATGTTTTTCTTTTTTTTTTTTTTGTTCAACTCTTTCAAATGTTTTTTGTTCTCGTTTTCGAAGACCAAATTAGTAAAGTACTTTCTGCAAAATGTCTTATGTGATACATATTAATGTATTAAAAGGCTGTAAAAATTATGGAAAAGTTCCCACATAGATTTTATCCAAAATTATTGCCTATAGATTGATACCACTGAATCTTGAAGTATTTCCAATATTTTTGTTTTATTTGAAATTTTTTAATATTTCTGTTCTGTTTTCTGCTTTTTCTTTTCTGAACGATAAAGTAATTTTCTTTTTCTTCTCTTAATGATAAGTGTAATGAGATAATGATAGAATGAAGTTGAAAGTATGAGTATTCAACTGCAATCTATAGAATAAATTGAAAAAATCATATCAAATAAAAAGCAAGTAGTAAACAAAGGACTTTTGAGGCTTAATATTACAAAAAAGAAAATTGTACACGTGCACATGAATTTTATTTACAAATAATGCGAATTTTATAAATGCCAAACATTAAACGATTTATTATATTCTTTCATAAACAGCTAATTAAGCTAACTCTCTTCCAAAAACCTAAAATGAACAAAATGCTTCTTTAGAAATTTTATAAATATGAAAAAAAGGTTGAACTTTCAATCTTTTACGTTATAATTCTTAACTATGAGTTGAACCTCCCATGGATTTGTTCAAGCAAAAAAAAAAACAACCAAAGTTGAAATATAGATTTGCACGAAATGAAGATTAGAAAACTGAGGGTGAGATATCAAGAAAAGTTTAAACGGAATACAATACAATTAAATACAGTTAAGGACACAAGCGAATATCCAAAGATATCCAAATTTATAATATATTTTTGTAATATAAACCGTTAAAATTTAAATTTGCATATTATAAAATCGAGGAAACACAGAAATTAAGATAATTCTTACCACGAATTTTTAATTATAACCTTACTGTTTATTATAGAAAAAATATCCTTCAATTATGATTCAATTCATTCTGATAAGAAACGCTGTAGGAGATATTGGTGATGAATATAACAATTTCAGATCTCTTGAGATGCGTGAAAATTCGTGGAAGTTTCAGATATGTGGAAGTTCTTGGAATCCTGAAAATATAATAGCAAAAATTATCAGAACTTTATCAAATTCTGTTTATTAAATGATGCGAATTTTTTCTCCCCGTTTTTCCATTATCTGTGACACTATTTCTCACAGAAAATTAGAATTACAAACTATAAGAGTATATTAATATGATCGGAATCAGCAAAGTTGTAAAAATTCATAAAATGAACGAATGATAAAAAATTACCTGATAAAAACCACGAAAACAGTGCCATAAACCGACTGTGATATCTCGTGTAACTTTAATACCCGCGTGATTGTTAATGAAACGCAATAACAATGCTCCATCCAAGCCAAGAAACTTGAAAATTTTTAAATATTCATATTAGACATTCAATTTTTAAGTAACTTACTAAAATAATCCAATCTCAAAAAAGCAGTTTAATACTTTTGGATTCGGAAAAATTTAACCTTCCATTTGTTAGCGAACTTATAAGTAAAATAATACACCTACCTCCATAATATAAATATGTAGATATCTTTTGTCTTTCAACAACAAAAAGTAGTTGTCATCGAATTCACCTTCCTATAAAACGAAATGGATTTAACTTCTTGTTCAGAAAACTTTTATTCCCTTGAAAGAATTCAAAAATTACCTGTCCGCTCTTCATAGTAGGTTAAAAACTGTTGTATCAAAATAGCATAATAATATAATAAAATATAAAAAAAGTAAAAGTAACAAAAGTTGACTGATAAATTAAAAGATTGTACTCACTTGCAGATAGAATTTTATCAAAGCTTCACGACATCGTGGCCGCAAACATTGCACCAATGTGATTATAAAATCTGTTAATGATAAGACAAATAGCTGAAATAAACTTGAAATCTATCACTTAAATACAGTCATCAATACAGATAAGACAAGTTGTCCTCAAATATACTTTATGTGTCGTAAAGGTTCTATTTCTCAGAGAATGTCTTCATCGAATATTAGGAAGCAAAAGTATATTACGCTGAAAAACCAAAAAGTCGTTCTCTACAAGAAATTTATAATTTAATTTAAATGCCTAATAGAATTCTTACCAAACATATCCAGTACCAGAGCATAAAGAAGATTTTTTCATTGATGAAATTAAGCATCAAAACACATTGAAATGTATTTATCTCTACTTTCCCTAAAGTTTGTCGTTCCATATCGCAGAATGTTATGAGTGGAAAGTATGATGATGTAAATTGCATTTTCTGAAAATATAGTATTGCAAAAGTATAATACATCTTGCAAAGTTATTCAGAGTAAAAAGAAGATTACTCATTTACTTCTTCATTTCTTTCCTTTTTAAGTTCCACATTTCTTAATCAGTAACAAACTTCTATACAAAACTCTCCACAACATTTCGATAGTGAAGACCAAAAGTGCTACAAAAGTGAAAATTTATAATTAAAAATTCTTTAAAGAATAGACACAAAAAATCGATGAATGCATTGAAACTGCGATTTGATAAATAAAAAGCTTATATAAAAAGAAAAAAAAGAAAAATTAAATAATATGAGAATTTTACAATTCAAAACCAGCTTCTATAACTACGAACCTCTGATAGAACAAAAATATTTATGCATAAATCATAAATCGATACCAGTTAGACACGAGGATTTCTAATTATACCTTATGCATGATTCAAATGAGCTTAGCAATCTCTCTGATAAAATTTAAATTCCAGAAAAATTTGATTTTGGACTAACTTACAGTGAGAGTCAAAGGAAAATTATTAAAACCAATAAATCGTCCAATGATGTAGAGCTGTATTATGTTATTTATGACATTTAAGAGTTTCGAAAAAAGATAAAGTGCAGTTGATATGCCATTCTTTTTGTCCAATGCATGCTTGCACCATTTCTAGAAAAAGAAAAAAAAAGAAACATTGAAATATCCAATCAATTAATCAGTCCATAATTCATACGGTTTCAATTTTTTTAAGATGACTATCAAAAACGAAGTTTGAAATTTTTACAAAACTAACCGCTTTCAAAGTTGAAAATTTACTTGCGGACCTCGACATTTGACATTCCTTAAAATGGTCCAAGATGCACTTTAATGAATAAACATTGAATTAAAGATTATTTTTAGAATAGGCAAAATAAGAGACTAAATAAACAACGTAATAGATAATTATGAATTAATTTGCTATTTAAACTGACAAAAAGAGAAAAAAACCGACTGTTCTACCCCTATCCATTTTTATCTTCATTTTCAGACCAGAAGCAATATATTTGACTAAATTTGTTAGCCTCGTTATTCGACCTTCAAATTTGAACATTGTTCTCAAGCATATAGCTTCACGAACCACAGCTTCCATGTCAAAAACTGAAAAAGGAAGTGTAAATTTCTAAAGTTAAGAAATAAGTGATAATATTACGAGAATTGTCAAATAAATAATAAACAAAAAAGATCTTACTGCATCCACGTTGTAACATCATCCATAGCCAACCAGGTATGTAGAAGCACAATGCTTGAATTGTGAGAAAAAATGGTACCCACTGAAAAAGTTCTTTTGACGTTTTTTACAATTTTTCATTCAAAATCTTTTATTTCTTAATCTACAAAGATTTCAATTTTTCTTTTTTATCGATAGCTTAGCTAAAGCTAGCTAGTGGCTATAGATTTTTCAAACTGTAAAAATATTGAGAAGTGAATTTTGATAAGTCAAAACTATGCCTACTTAAAATCCATGTTGTTTTCAATTACTTTTAGAGAGAGAGAGAGAGATTTTACTGAAACATTGTATGTGCACTAATTATATATATAAGCAACCAACCTGATAATAATTTACATTTAAATGAAGTTTTGCTCGATTACTTGCACTCGGTAATGTTTGATTATCTGTCAAACGATAAGTATTTTGAGTGAAACAATAATATTGTCCATAATCGGTCCAAGAATTTTCTATAACGAACAGTAAATTAATTTTGGTAATAATATATCTTTAATAAATGTTTAACTAGTCAATATAAAATGACTAAACAATGGAATAGGATGATAATTAATAAGCTTAGACACTTAAACAGAATACTGGCATTTCATCCGGAATAATAGACTTAAACAGAATATTGGCATTTCATCCGAAATGATACACTTAAACAGAATATTAGCATTCCATCCGGAATGATATAGTTAAACAGATGGAATGATATACTTAAACAGAATACTGGCATTTCATCCGGAATAATAGACTTAAGCAATATTGGTATCATTCTATCCGGAATGATAAACATAAATAAACAAAAATTTCAGAAACATACGATCGAGATGTGTTGGAAGCATACATTGTATTGGTTGTCCAAATTGTTGTTCCGCACCAATAAACAAAACGCATAGAATTAAAACAATTGTTGTAATATTCCAATGCAAACGATCCACTGTATTATTCAAATGATAAGAATGACTGAACGTTGACAATAATTTTCCAAACAACGATATTTCAAACATTTTATTTTGAAAGGTAAAAACTGAAAATCATTTTTTATAGTTTAAAAAACAAAAACTTTATATCAAACAACAAATAGAAGATATAAAATATATAATATGTAGTACTAAATCTCTTCTAAAATATCTAACTTTTGATTAATCAATTGTTTCTTAATAAATTATAATTATCTAATCCTTATAACTAACAATTTTATCAATATACTAGAGATATTCTCTATGGGAATATATTTCGAAGATCTTTTAACAGAGAGAGAGAGGGAGAGAGAGAGGGAGAGAGAGAGAGAAGATAATGAAAAAGTGAGAAAGAGAATAAATTCTCATTCGAAAATTTGACAATTTTTTATCTAAATTACATTTGCATTGATTTTTTTTCACAAAAAATCATTAAAATTAATCTTTACTGATCGTTTTTAGAAATTTTGAGAAATCTATTGGAAGAATTTTTCTTTCTTCCTCGTTTATCTGACATTTGAACAATTATTACTTTTCATAACACAAAAAGAATAGTTACGATGATGTCATCGAAGCACTTTTTCCCACGTAGTCTGTTATTTGATGAGTGAAAATGAACGTGAATCACGTGAACTGCGTTGCATGACTCTTCTTTCACATCCATTTAAAGACATTGTTTCTGAGATGAATAAACAATTATTAAACTATTTTTATACATTTACCTCTCAGCGAGTTGTTTTTAAGCATCAAATTTGACGTGTAATTTGCGTGAACTTCACGTTATATCGTATATTTTGTACGTTTTTATATTTTGCAGAAAAGAAGTATTTCTTGTTGATTGATGAAACAAAATACAAAGTTCGAAGATGGTGGAATAATTATTTATCTTATTTTTACGAGAAAAAAAAATGAATGAATCAGTTCGACGGTTGATTACATCCGGAAAACCTTATCAGTTTGTTTCGTTTTTTTTTTTGTCCTGGAACTTTTAGATGTTTTCCAAAAAATTTTTGCTTATTTTAATATTAATATGTATTGATATGAACATTTGATCTATGCTTGAGAATAGAAAAGTATTCAATTTGCCCATTTTTTTATTTGTTTTTGGTGGATAGCATTTACTCGAGAATGATAACGATATGAATGATGTATGACCGAAGAACAGTTTTCTTGCCAACAACATAAAAGGTATGATTTTTTCAATATAATTCTAATTTTTCTAATTGGTTAAGTTGAATTTTCTGGTATTTTAAGGTAGCATAAGCTGGTTAAAGTTGAATTTTCTGATATTTTCAAGTAGGATAAGCTGTGTTTATTTTCAAGACAATAGTTGATATGAAAGTAATCATTCATTGAACTCTCGAGAAAATAATCTTTATATCTCCTAATATATGTCTTTTTTATTACAAGTATGATGGAAGAGTATATTGTTGGAATATTTAATGGTACCAATTGGAATTAATTCGACTACAACATTGAGAGAAATTTTCTGGGAACTTTAACAATTTTTAAATAAGAACTGATCATCATTTATCAATTGTAAAATATGTATTAATAATTAAATTTGCAATCTGAAATTAACAATTAAATTTACAGTCTAAAAAATGAAATCTATTTCAATTGCACTGGTACTTGTAGTTGCTGTGACGACATGTCAAACGAAGGAATTGAAATTATCAGAACTGATTACTCTTGAAAATCAGGAAGAAAGCCTTTGTGAATCATGTCAAATGTTTATCAGTGGAATAAATAATGTAATTGAACAAGCTTTTGATTGGGTCACTCAGGTTAGTTCTTTTTCATAGTGCTTTTTTAGACTTGCACAATCATTTTTTAAATTTTGAATTTAATTTCTTTTTTAGACTTGCACAATCATTTTTAAATTTTGAATTTAATTACATTAAATTGCATTAACTGTTACTGAGAATAAATTTATCAAATGCAACAATATCACTTCGAGATTTCTTATCATTATCATTTTTTTTTTATTTAGGAAATGGATGATTTCTGCGACGACCATTTTGCTTATAATTCAACTGCTACTATGACATGTAAAGCGAAAGTAGATAAAGTGGTTGAAAAAATACGAGATTTTGTTGTGCTTGAAGATGCTTCAGAAGTGATATGTCGAAAGTTTTATCTTTGTTGATTTTATGAAGTAATTAATAAAATGTTATTTCTCTAAAAACCATTATTGCAAATTAAAGTTATGCAACTATAAAGGATTAAATTGTAAACTATGTTTGAATCTTTTTTCTCTCCCTCCCTCTCTCTCCCTTCTAATATAACTTTCTGAATTGCATTTTAAGAGTGAATATTTGAGAAACAATTTGAACTTTAATACTACGCTATAAAATTTAATGTTAACAATCAACGAACGACACAATAATTGGTAAAGTAATGAGATAGTATAATCCATTCTAAAAACTTAGTATTATCTGTTTAGGTAGAAAATCTGTTACAAATCTTTGCTTATCTTTTAGCTTTCGAAAAATGAAAAATTTTTAATGAAATTTTTTGAATAAACCATCTACAAATAGTTGCATAGGAATTTCATCTGCTACAATAATTAGTTGTTTTATCAAAATGCTTTAATAACAATTTCGGAATTTTCTCCATTTCTTATCAGTAACATCAATGATAACATTGTTAACGGATAAACAATGCTACTATCATATCAACATAGTGAATACTTCTTATACTTAGTTGTAGTTATTTTGAATTTTTGTTTTGTTTTTTTAATTTTCAAATTCTGAATTTATTAAGGGTTCTTATATAGGTTTTTTTCTTTTTTTGATCCTTACACAATATGAATTGGATTGTTTATATTTTATTACTTAAATTCTTCTTCCAAGAGAAATATTCCAATTACTGGAGCTATAATTCCTTGTAATCATCATTAAAATGTCTGAATAAAAAATACTTCATATTGAAATTTAATTATAATTTTGAAATTTTAATATATTCATCAATTTTGCAGTATAATGTCAAATACACTCCTTCTTATTATAATCACTGTATTTCTACTTCCAATCAATCCGACAATCAGTTTCAATGCAAAAAATTTATTCTGTGAATCCTGTAAAGCATTCATAGAACAATTAAATCAAGAATTAACAACCGTTATTTACAAGGCTTATAATGTTTGTTTTACTTACAATTGCAATTAATAAAAAGTTTATATGATTTTTCTTTTTTAGTATAATAAATACAAAACTGGAATACTTAATACAAAATGCTAATACAAAATAGAAGCATTAATTATTCTCAAAATTATGGAGTTAATTTAATTAATCAATTATTTAATGCTAATGTTTGTTCTACTTATAATTGCAATTAATTTATTTATAATTGTAATTAATTTATTTATAAATGCAATTCTTTAATTATTCCATATCTTTCAGTATGTAAATGGTTTTTGTGCTGAATTATTTGAAAATGGCACAGAAATAGCTAATTGTGAAGCAATAAGCTATCGTCTAATTAATAAATCACAATTGTATTTGGCTAATAAAATTAATTCAAATGTCGCATGTAATGTTATCAATGTTTGTTAATTTTTTTCATATAATAAATAAAATTTTATTGTTAAAGAATTCGGCAAAATGAAAATAATTCAGTGTTGTTTACGTTTTTGCACGTGAAACACGTGAAATGTTGTAAACATATACAGTGGTATTATTCGAATGGCTTAAAATTATTAATATTTTAAAAATTTATTAAGCTATATTGTAAAAATGATGACATGTAAATGCTTTCCGTCCTACTGGATGCTTGTCACATTAGTATTATTTTATTAATTTCAATTTTGCCATACAGAGAGATAAATTTATCTCATCGTTGACATTCCTAATATATTTCTTTTAAAATATTACTAATTGAGGTGGAAAATTTTATCAGGATTATTTCATTCCCTTTTGTTAAAGTTAGAAAACTTTATTAGAACTTTAAATTCTCGATAATCCAGAAATTGAAATATATTTTTTAAAAAAAAAAATGAAAACAAGAAAGAAAAAAAATTGTGCTTCATTTAGTGCTGAGAAATGACAATTTACTTTTCATTTATCTTTTAAGCAGCTAAAATTTTTAATATGAAATTAAATGTGTCATTTTAATTACATTTTAAAAGTTTTCTGTCTAAATTAATTTCCATTAACTGTAACAAAATAATACCTAAGTATGGTAACTTCATTGTTTATAATTTCTGTTCTTATAAATTGCAAACTTTAAAATAATTTTCAGAAATTTTTTTCTTCTTTTTTTTTCTCTCTTCCTCTCCCTCTCACTCATAAAATCTTATTTCAAAGTTTTTTTTTTTCAGGTTGTTTCATGATTTTTATAATTTTATCAATCTAATCACTGAAGCCAAAATTTTTCGTTTTCAAATAAACATAAGCCTAGTTTCTTGTTAAATAAAATGAAAAAGTAAAAGATTGGACAGAGCAGCTGTTCCTTAAGCTGGAAGGCATTTTTTTTTTCTATATTTTTGTTAATTTCAAAAATTTTGAATTTTTGAAAACTGAAAATATACTTACTAGTTAGTAGTGATGGGTCTAAATTTTAAAGTTTAACAAATGGTGTGTTAATTTTATTATATTTTGAAAAAAAAGAAAAAATGCTGGAAGTTAAGAAAAAAAGAGAGAAAACGAAAAATTTAATTTCGTTTGTCTAAAAAAAAAAATTTCCTTTTTCTTTTTTGATTCAAAAAATTATTGCATATACAAATAATTTTCCCATAAAGCCTAATTTACTTAGCATTTATAAAAAAAAAAAAAAAGAAAGAGCTATTGACTAAAAAAAAAAAATATTTGGAACACTAAATTTATCATTCATTATGTTTTCAGAAATCAAAATTAAAGTTCAAAAATAGTAAAAACCTTTTTTGTAATCATTCATTGAATTGTGTGTTTTTTTTTCTTTTTCTTTTTTTACTTTGTTCAATTTCCATTTTCTTTTTGTTACTAAAATTTAAAAAAGAGGACAAAAAAAAGAGAAAAAAAAAATGAGTTAGTAAAAATTGCTTTAGCTATTTTAGTTATTGTCAATCTTTTGAATTTATTTACTTAATAGCAATGAAAAAATACGAAAATTGCTTAGAAAGCATTGAAAAAAAAAAAAAAAGGAAAAATTTTGCTATAACTTAATGGAAACTATTCTTTGCTATTATTACTTCTTAATTTTACTTAGATACAAACCAATCAATATATGTTAATAAATTAAAATTGACAATTAAAAATATTATAATGTAAGCATGAATTGAGATAAATTTTATGATGCACACATATTTTTGCATTATTTTAAAAAAGTATAAAAAAAAAGGAAAGAAAGAAAGAAAGAACTTTTTACACTAGTGAGCTTTCAATGCTACTTAATTTTAAGCATTGAAAAGAAATAATAATAATAATAATGATTGAATAGGTGTGATGTAATGATTCTAAGGTAATAATTTGACCGACAATTTGAAAAGAAAAAATCTTTGAAAGATCAAAATGATGAATTCAATTCACTCAAAAATATTGAAGTGAAAAAAAAAAAAAAAGAAAAATGCACTATATGAGATGAAGGAAGTGTTGTTGTGAAGCGCAGTTTGCATAATTGACACTTCACAGATATTTACAGCTTTTCGAGATCAATCAGTTTACTTACGGTTGATTGAGAAAGAAAACGATGATTAAAATATTTTTTTTTCTTCCTAATCTTTTTTTTTTTTTTTTTATGAAATCAAATTTTATTCTATTTATATTAGACTTGTGTCATTTTTTTTAAATCAAATCATCCTCAAATTTCATTTCATCAATTTTCTTCAGATTCAGATCAGTTTAAACTTTTCTTTTTGCGTTTTTTTTTTTTAGTATACATTGATTAGATTTATAATTTGTCACTGAAATAGCTAGAAATGAAAAAAGAAGTTGAAATTTGAAATGCAAATTTTAATATATCATAATGATATATCAGTAATAAATGTTTGAAAAAAATTTTTTATTGAAATTTTTAATTTATACAAATTATTCTAGGAATGTTGAATATTCAGGTAAATCCTTGTATGTTTCGTTTTATCCATCAATTTTTTCGTAGAAAGGAAAAAGCTAATTAAGTAAAGATGACAATTAGTGCGTAAGCTTTAATGTACAAATGAAGGAGAATTTTTAATTTAAAAAAAAATTTTTCGATAAAAAATGTAAAAAAATTATATATATAATACATATATATGTCATTAAGTAATGATTTGAATATTTTTTTTCCTCAAATATTATTTAGAAATTTAAAAAAAAAAAAAGAAAGAAATATATTCTTATTTTGAAATATGGAAAAGTCCTCCTTCTGACATTTTCAGTAATTGTGTTAATACGTTGTGTCTTCATGATGTCATCGAAAGGTACACTGCGCTTCAATTATGCTTCAGTCAGATCATTAAATTTTCCATTTTGTTCACTCATTCTAACATTTTTAGTTTGAGCTAACTTTGCTTCTTTTTTCTTTTTTTTTTTTTTTTTTTTTTTGAAAAAAAAAATGTTGACAGGTCATCTCTTGCAGGTGTCCACTTAAGATGATGAATATAGACATCTAAATAACTATTATGCAGCAAATAAAAATTTTTCATTTTAACTAGGACAGCCAAATTTGCACTTTATTTTTAAGATATATGTATATGCGTAGACATTTAGACTTTTTTTTTATACCTAAAATTAGGCTTAAAATTAAGAATTGGATTGTAGGTAGTACTTTCAATGTAAAATAAAAATGTGAAATTGTCAACTTTGCTAAATGGATTCATTTCAAGTTGTATATGGAAAAGTGATAAGAAGAAGAAAAAGAAGGAAGATACAGGGATGACACTTTTTGAGTTGAGCAACCAATTTCCCGAGCTTGGGGTACTCTGGCCTTAATTGGTGAGCTATTGGCTATGTAGCAAAGGAAATGTGGCACATAGCTAAGTGTGACAGGCATGGAGACACTTACTTATTGGCAAGCAGAAAGATATTGCATTTTGGAAAGCAACGGAAGCTTTCCATCATTAAAAAAAAAAAAAAAAAGTAGGACTGCTTCATTGACAATTTAAGCAGAAAAGGGTAGCAGAGAGGCTGTCACATACAGGTGGTTTGTTGAATAAGCCAAGAATGATATCTTCATGATTATTCCTTCTATCCAACTAATATATTTTTTTTTTTTTTTACTTTTACTACTACCATTACCATACTACACTTTGCTACTATAATACCGTACTACATTTCACTACTACCATTACCGTACCACACTTTACTACTATCATTACCGTACTACACGAATAGATATTTATTTTAGGAATGATATATTTGCTATTAAATTGAAAAAATCACTAAAACATTTAATTAAATCAAATTATGAGCTTAAATATCGTATTAAAATATAAATAATACTAATTTTAAAAGAAAGAAAGAAAGAAAATGCCGGGAGATTATCAGTATACTAAAGTATACCCAAAAATAAAAAAACTTTAATAAGTTTAATGTTCACGAAGTAATATCATAAGATCACAACTCTCTGTATAAGTATATATCAGAGATATGTCATTATTATTACTCTTATCATATCATATTTATTTTTAGTAATTTTATAGTAAGAAATAAATGATGTACAATGTACAAATATGTAAATAAATAAATTAATGTATTGAGAAATTAATCTATCATAGATTTTCTTTTTTTTTCCTTTTTATTTATTACTTATTGAGTTTGTTATACATCAAAATATGACACATTTTTCTAGGGTGTAGTAAAGTAACTTTTGACAATAACAAGTGCCTACTTTAATCTTGAAGGGTAATTTTTCACAACTAGCAATCAAATTAACCATCTTGTGTGTAAGTAAGTCATTTAGTATTTTATTTTGCAAGGAGAAATTGAAAGAGTAGCAGGAGATGATCGAGAGAATATGCTACTTGTAAAAAGCAAATCAATTATTCTCTGATGGGTTGTTGTTTTACTATTTGTCATTTTCTTTTCTAATATTGAAAAAAAAAAACCAAAAAAAAAGAGGAAGAAGAAAAGAAAACAAGAAAAAATATGAATGAATGAATGAATGAATGAATATTTCATCAAATTATTATTATTATTATTTTTTGTTTTTTTTTTAGGAAAAAATTTTACAAATTATGAATGGTTGTATGATTTGTTGGATTTTTACAATTTTAATTCTTGTTATGGCAAAGAAAAAATTGAAAGAGCAAGAAATTATTCAACGAACGCTAAAAGATTATGATTGGCGTGTACGACCACGTGGTAGTAATCTTTCTTGGCCAGGTATGTAAATTAATTCAATTCACCTTTTATTTTTTCCTGCTTTATTTATTTAGTCTTTTTTATATTATATTGTTTTATGAAGACAAACGTAATTAATCTTTTGAAGATTTAAAGCTTTGTCATTATCAATATGTTAACCACTTGTTTTAAACTTAGTTTGCTCTCATTTTATTTGCTGTTGTTTTTTTTTTTAAATTACTGAACTAAAAGTACGTACTGAACTTCCGTAATCTTAATTTCATTCAAAAAAAAAAAGAGAAAATCATTATGTGCTTCGTTTATTTTTGATCTGAACTTATTCCTTTGATGAAATTCAACTTTACTTTATTTTTTTTTTTTTTGCCTCAAATATACTTAAAATTAATGGGTAAATAATAATTTGTTACTCAATTATCGTAAATTATCAATAATTCTTCACTGAATTTTCTTTAGCTCACATATTCATTACTTGACGATAAATATTTATTTTTTCAATTTCAATAAAAGATATAAAAATTATTTTAAAATTTCTTTAATATTTTCGAAAACATATGCTTTTTTTTCAAATTTTTAATTATATTTGAATATATTTTTCACTTTCAAATTAATTTATAATTTTTCCACAAATAACAGCAATTTTTTTTTTCAATTTCAATTTTTAATAGACGTACGTAAAAAAGTAAATATATATATGTTTTGACGTATACTTGTGCTACTAATTTTGTATGAAACTTTTTGTATGTTTTTTATTTCTGCCATTTGATTTAAATTAAAAATTTTAAACGAAATCTTCCTAAATGTTATTTTTCATCATTTCCTTTCATCACAACTATGAATTTTTTGAATTTTGGAAGACAAATTTCTGATTGAAAATATTAAGAGCAGTTGATTGGAAAAATTTTTGCTTATTTTCAAATCAACAAACATCTTAACGAAGTACTTCTCCTTTTTGCATGACACTTCTCAGCTAAAACTACATTAAGGAAACACTTTGAAGATGAAATAAGAACCATAATATTTGTGAATTAGTAAAACTTTTTTTTTTTTCAATTTATAAAATTATCAATTTCGATTTGTTATCCGATCCTTCATGATAACAAATATTTCTATTTCTTTGAATATATTATTACATTTTCATGATGATGCAATTTAATACTCAAAAAAAAAAAATTCAAAATTCCCAGAAGAAAAAAAAAAAGGAAGAAGAAATTGATTAACTTAAATCGTTAAGTATGATTATATATCATAGCAATAAGTGACAGAAATTTTTGAAAAGAAAAAAGTGGAAATAAGATAATTTTATAAAAAAAAAAAAAATTTTTTTTAATTTGGCATAGATTATAATATATGAAAGATAATATGTGCAGCTGTTTATGTTTTGCTTGCATTATAAATGAATAATATATTAAAAATAAAACACTGATAGTGACAGTGTAATAAATCATAATCTGTGATCTTTTAAAATTATTATTTCTTCCAAAATTTAAAAAAAAAAATTTAAAAATACTATATTATTAATTTTGATTAATTAGGTTAATTAATCAAAGTTAGCTAATCATGAAGTAAAACATCTACAGTTAGAAATTAGATCGGTGAATGAAAATTAATTAAGTAAAAATTATGCAACTACTGTATAAATTTAACTGCACAATAAAAGTTAAAATGTTAAAAAAATTTTTTTCTAACTTATTATATTTTTTAGATATTATATTTTATATTATTTTAGATTACTTGATTTTTCGATTATAATAATGAAAAAAAGAAAAAAAAAAACATATAATACTTTAATTTTTATTTTTTAGTTTTAATTCTTTCCCTCTGAACTACTTTCTTCCTTTTCGCTCTCAATATTGTCATTAATTTAAAGTTAACTGTTAAAAAATTCAAATTTGTCAACAGCTGGATAATTTTTGCAGTCCTAATCTTAACAGTAATAAGTAGGCACTTTTTTTTTTTTTCATGAAAATCTTTTTCATTTAAAAGAAATCCTCTGGGAATTTTCCTGTATACTTAGTAAATTAATCCTGCAAATTCTCTCTTTCGATGTATTTTGTTTATCTGAAACAGACCTTTAAATGAATCACATATATGTATTAATGCAATCGCATGGGTATTAATCAGCTTTAAAAAGTTTACAATTGAAGAAGAAATGAAATTGAAGTTGAAATAGAATATCAGAATTGCAAGAAATACTCTAATTAGCTAGTAATAATGAAAAACAAAATTCTTAAATTTCATCACTAAACAAATAAAATTTTTCTATTTGTCTATCAAATTTTTGTGACAAAATTTTGAAAGATTTTCTTTTAAATGCAAATTTTTATAAGCGATACTGAAGAGTATTGCAATGAAATAAGAAAACTGTATTCAACAGCTTTTAAGTAAGGTTGTTTTAAAGAAAATTATTAAATTTTAATAAGTTTGACAAAAAAATATAAATTTGTAAAGTATCGAACTGATATAATTTGATCAAATGAAATTTTAATTTTTAGCATACTTTCATCAAAGATTAATCATTTAGACACAGGTGGTCCAGTGCTAGTCTCTGTAAACATATATTTGCGATCAATTTCAAAAATTGATGATGTTAATATGGAATATAGCGCACAGTTTACGTTTCGAGAGGAATGGAATGATGCGCGATTGGCGTACGAACGTTTAGCGGACGAGAATACGCAAGTACCACCGTTTGTGGTACTTGCAGCAAGTGAACAGGCTGATTTAACGCAACAAATTTGGATGCCAGATACTTTCTTCCAAAATGAAAAGTTTACTTTTGATGAATTTGCTGGAAAAAAAAAAGTCATCAAAAATTAGTGTTATTAATATTTTATCATTGATCATTATATTAGATCGAAGGGGATTAAGGTTTTTGAAAGGTAAAAATTGTTGTAAAATAATCGATAATCTTTAGATATCAATTTGATGATCTTTAAATATTAATATTTCCTTCGGGAAAATTAATGATAAATAAATAAATGATCATTATCTTATTGTAAAAATATTCTAAAGATAAATAATAAAGCTATCAGACAGAAATGATGATAATGATTTGATGATAAAAATTACACGAATAATTGTGATTAATTATCTACCAATTAATGCAATGATTATTAATATTATTACAGAGAAGCAAGACGACATCTTATTGATAAACCTAATGTGCTTATCAGAATACATCCCGATGGTCAAATATTATACAGTGTTAGGTGATTGTTTAATTTATTTTTTATCTTTGTTATCAGTTACAAATTTACTTTTTCAAATTTTCTATCACTGTGGAAAATATTAATTATTACTGAGAGTTGTGGAAATATCCTAAAGTTACATATGGAATAAAATGGCTTACTTAATTAATTTTAGTTGGAAAATTTGGAAAATTGTATAAATGATTTTTTATCGTTAAATTTCAGTTATTTCTTCTTATTTCAGAATTTAAGAATTTTCTCATTTTTATTTGATAATATTACTTCAGGCTTTCATTAGTATTATCGTGTCCAATGTCGTTGGAATATTATCCATTGGATCGACAAACATGCCTTATCGATCTTGCTAGTTGTATGTTAAAATGTTTCATTTTAAATTAGTTTTTTTTTTTTTTTTACATTAGAAGACTATTTCACTACTTATTGATAGATTAATAATCATAATTTGATTTCAAAAAGAATTTTAAAAGTTATATTTCATTTTATTTTTAATTCTAAAATTTGCACTGTAAAAAATTTCATCAATGCAATTAAACATAAAATTTTGCATACTTTTTTGTTTATGGATCAAAAAAATGGAAACAGTTGAATTAAAAAAAAAAAAAAAGAAACAATCTTTTTGTAAAAGATAACTTCATTTGAGATTTTTCATTTTTCTCTCTAACTGTTCAGGGGAGAATTATTACCTTAAATATTATTAATTTATTACCTTAAAATATTATAAAACTTTTTAAGCATTCTCATCATCCAATTTTATGATTATTACCCTTTGACATCTTTTTCTTTTTTTTTTTCTAATCGAAAGTTATTTTAGCTATCTTATAGCAAAGTGTAAAATTTACAATTTATTTTATTTTTTCATTTTTAAAGATGCTTACACCACTGATGATATTAAATACGAATGGAAGCTAAAGAATCCAATTCAACAAAAGGAAGGCTTACGACAAAGTTTGCCAAGTTTTGAGCTTCAAGATGTTCTGACGGATTACTGTACAAGTAAAACTAATACAGGTACAGTATATCATTCATTTATTATTTAATTTTATAAAATTATCAAATGATAAGATAAATTATTTGCATGGCTTTTTCTTTTTTTTTTGGTGTTTAGTGTCGATGCTAACAATTTCAGGTGAATATAGCTGTTTGAGAACAAAAATGATTTTACGACGTGAATTCAGCTACTATCTTTTGCAGGTGTGTGCTGTGCGCTATCTGAAATATTTTACCCTTTGTGATTATTTGATTTTTAATAGTTGTACACAATTACCCAAAAATATTTTACTCACCTTTATTTAATTTGTGTGAACATTTTTAACCAAACTAAAAGCTCAATGTTGACAATATTTACATTTTGATAACATTTTAGGTAAACGATTGATATTTAAGCTTAGCTATAAGTTTAATCTGATAGATTACATCTTTCCTTCTTTTTTTTTTTATTAGCAACTACCTAAAAGCAGAAATAAATTTATAATTTCTTTTTTTTTTTTGAACATCTTACAAGCAATCATTTTTTCAATAACTATATAATAGATTCTATTGGTATAAAGTGATGTCAACAGAAGCTTCTGACATTTGTGTCATGATGTCCTCCCAATGTTGTTTTTTTTTTTCCCCTCTAATTTGTATGCTAGTGTAAAATTTCAGCTCTACATACCATCATTCATGCTGGTTATCGTTTCATGGGTAAGCTTTTGGCTCGACAAGGATTCGGTACCTGCTCGTGTTACCCTTGGTATGAAACGCTCTTTCAAAAAATAATAAATAATAAATCATCCCTGCTGTTTTGTTTGTTTTGTTTTCTGTTTTTTTTTTTTCTTTTTCCCCGAAGATTTTAATAGAAATAATTTGCATCATTTCTGCATAATTTGGTGTTTATTGTGTGTGTGTGTGTCTCAAATGTTTTCAGGTGTAACAACACTTCTAACGATGACCACACAAAGTTCGGGTATCAATGCTAAACTTCCCCCTGTTTCCTATACAAAGGTTCCTGATATATTTTTTTGCAAAAAAAAAAAAAAAGGAAAAAAAATAAGCTAATAGCATTGCGAGATTATTTGAAGGATTAATTTGCTTATGTTTTTAATATATTTATTTGCTTTAATTGGTTATTATTTAAATTGTTGAAATTATCCCTGTTAATAATCCCAAAAAATATAATAGTGAAAGCTTTTAGTGTTGTCATTTCATTGTTGTTTTTATTGCTTTTAAAATGGCTTAGCTTTAGTAGATTTAAATTTTTTTACTTTTAATACATTTTCTCCCAATTAACCATTCTTGAAAAGAAAAAAAGAAAAAAGAGAGAAACTTGCTTAAGTTCAGAAAAAGAGAAAAAATAACACTTACTAATAAATAAATATCTTTGATGAAATAGTTGCATAATTTTTTTAACTTCAATCATACAATGAAATTTTAATATTAAATTGTATTTGACAACAACTAAACTCATTAATAGCAATTAAAAATCAAACTTGATCATTGATTCTCAGAATTCTGAGAAATTAAGTGCTAAGAAAAGAAGCAAACTTCAAACATTTTTTAGCGCATTAACGAATTAGAACTTACCTAGCAGTATGTTACTTCTAGATAAGAAGTAATTTAGGCAATAGATGTTTGGATTGGTGTTTGCTTAGCATTCATTTTTGGTGCACTGCTTGAATTTGCTTTGGTCAATTATGCAGCAAGAAAGGATGTAAACGCCGGACATCGAATGGTTCGTTTTAGGTTCGTTTTAGGACGCCTGAAAATGCATCACACAATTTTAGTCTTGTCACTATGTCACCATTGTCCTAAATGATGTGGACCCACATGAAATGGTGTAATAATAATAATAATAATAATAATAATAATAATAATAATAATAATAATAATAATAATAATAATAATAATATATTTCTTTCTGAAAATTATTTGACAGATAATTTTAGTTATGCAATTGTGTTGTCATTAGAAGATGCTTTGTAACTTGTGACATCTTCATAATAATTTATGAAAATGTCAATTCGAATGAAAAAGAAAAAAAAATGGCAAGACTTCTGTTGAGTTCAATTACTCAACTGTATTTGTTTATCAGATTGAATGATCGAATTATCTGATAACATGAAATTCTGATCTAGCATAACTGCAGCATATAGGGAGCATAAGAGAATTTCTCTATTGCTTTCCAAATGCTATTTTACAGTTATCAAAATATGCCAATCATATGGATTACTCATCCGGTTATCAACCTTTAGTATCAACAACTGCTATTATGACGCCTACCCGTTCTTGGTGGTGTTTGCGACCATTTGTCCGACGTTACAAAGAACGCTCCAAGCGAATTGACGTTGTTTCACGCTTGGTAACTTCTAATATACCTATCACTTCTGATCTCTAATATTGCTTTTCCTATGCATTTGATACTTTAAGATAATTATTTTTCATTTCTTTCAATAAGCAAGCATTTACCCTATTCCTAAATTAATAGTATGCTATTTTTTGTTTACAATATTTTGAAATTATTCGTTCTAAATGCAAGTAATTGACGATCTTAAATTTTCTCACTTAGTTATCAAGCTTTCATAGCTTTTTTATTTCCTTACTATCCTATCTCAAAGTAAAGTTTTAAGACATTCATCAGTCATATAACTGTTGTATTTAACAATTTAGATATTCAACATAATAATATTTCCATACACAAAAAACGATAATCTGCTAAAATTAGCTGATTGATATAAACATCACATATTTTTTTTCTTTACTTCGTAGCTAATTCTTCTTTAACTTTGGAAAAAAAACTATCATCATAAGTTTTAATTCCTGTTTAGGTATTTCCAATTGGTTACGCTTGCTTCAACGGTATGTGTATTTTGATTAAATACATTTGCTATTAATAAAGCAAATTGTTACATTTGATATTCATTTATGATTAGTCTTATTGAGTAAATAGTAAAAGTAAGAATGAGTAATAAAAAGAGAAAATTCAAAAATTATATAAAGTATTAAGATGCATGGCAATGTATATTCATTTTAATTCATGCTAAATTTGATTGCTAAATAAGCTTATCTAAGTAAGCATTGGATGCTATCTTTGATGCCTGATGCATGTAAATATGTTTTGAGTTCATTTGCTATTAATTTATCATATCATTACAGCATGGCTTGATTTGCTAAATTTTTTTTGTTCTTTCAGTGTTATATTGGGCTGTTTATCTCATTTAACAAAAAAAGCTTGGATTTTACAGTTACAGTAACAATTTTTACATATGCAATCGAATTGTATACTGTAACGCTACAGTATGCTACTGTACAAAAAATGTGTATTGTATTATTATTGATCAATCAATTGGCGCTATTTTTTGCTCAATTTATTTATTTATTTATTTATTCTTCATGAAAATAACATAACAAATACATCTATGCATATTCTATTCTTTATTTTCAATAAAAAAAGCTGAAAAAGTGAAAAAAGAATTCTTCGAATTGTTCTCTTCTCTTCTCCTCTGTTACACATTGAGAAGCGCAAACTGTACAACACCTGTGGATGCTACTGTAATACTATTGCAGGTGAATACAGTTGTGCTCGTGTAATGCTACTACTTCGTCGTGAATACAGGTAACTTTATTATTGTTTTTGTAAATTTGTATATTACTCGCCATATTTAGTTATTATTTAATTCAGCTTTATATACCGTGCATTATGTTGGTCGTCGTTTCCTGGGTTTCATTTTGGCTTGATAAGGTATAACATTTCTCCTTTTTTTCATATAATTTTTACTATTATTATTTCATGCTTATTATTATTATTATTTTAAGTGAAAATTTATCAGATGAAAAATTAAAATTAATTTTTGAAAAATTGAAAAAATTAATTAAAAATGAAAAATTAATTTTTTTTTCTTAATTTTACTTTTTATATATGCTTCTGTAAAGAATTATTTATAAATTTGTAATAAATTTTAATTTAGGATGCTGTACCTGCTCGTGTATCATTAGGTGTAACAACATTGCTAACGATGACTACACAAGCATCAGGTATCAATGCTAAACTACCACCAGTATCATATATCAAAGCAGTTGATATTTGGATTGGTGTATGCTTGGCATTTATTTTTGGAGCTCTATTAGAGTATGCACTGGTCAACTATTATGGACGACAAGAATTTTTAAAGAAAGAGAAAAAAAAGAAAACAGAATTTAAGGGTTGTTTATGTCCATCAGATCATCCATTTAATCAGGTAAACATTCATGTAATAAATTACTAATTTACTAAATAAGGAAATAAAAAAAATATATATTTAAAATCAATTTAGAATTGAAACTAACTTTAGGATCTAAGGCAATCGTTACGATTAGATATGAATACGTACAGAAGAAAACGATGGACAAAATTTTGGTTAAATAGATACCTTTGCGGTAATACTGAAGTTAGCAAACGTGTTGACCTCATTTCACGATTTGCTTTTCCAACATTTTTTGCTTGTTTTCTTGGTGAGTGATATATTTTTTCATTTCGTTGGAAATATTTAATTAGTTTAATTATCTCATTTAGTTTTAATTAATCAAAACTTTTTAGTTAATTGATTTTATGCTATATAAGTTAATTAAAATAATTATTTATTCGTAATGAGTTTTCGTTTTTTTTTTTTTTTTTTTTTTTTTTTTTTTTGAAAAAAAATTATCTTCAGTGCTTTACTATGTGAATTATGTGAATTGATGAGAAGAAATCGTTTTTTGGTGCAGGTATATCAGAAGATGGAAATCAATTCGAACAGGTGCAGAATGGAACTTGAATTAGCACAAATATAAAATTATTTCAAATTTATACAAATTTTTTTGTAACAGTTCGAAAAACTGTTTTGTTGCGGTAAATGAATGAATAAAGCGGGTTTTCTTGGTGTTATCACATTTGATGAGAATGATACTGGTACTAGTGATAAGAGTGATAACAGTGATAAATGAAGCAGTGGATAAATTTTTATGCTTGATTAATGATTTTGTAGAAGATCTGAAACGAATACCTGATGAATTTGAAAAGAGGAGGAATGAGTACTAATGACTGTACTTGCTTTATTTCTCTTTTCTCCTTCCCTTATCAGTTAAATCTTTCCCTTTCTTTTTGCCTTCTAAACACTTTTCTAATTTTGTGGTCATAGGTCAAGATTCGAGTAATGGTATTCGCGAATTCCAGTCGTCAAAATAACTTAGGCGCAATAAGTAATTTATATCCAACTGATTTTTATGTTTTTATAAGTGACAACTGATTTTATGTGAAGTTGATTATGTAGAAGAGTAAGAAACTGAGATTGAATTTTTTTTTTATGAATTTTATAAATTTGACAGTACGTTAGAAGGCTTACAATACTTGTCTTCTGAAAGAAATTTAAAATATTCATATTTGGGTCTTTTTTAAACCAAAATCATTTTTCATTTTCATTACTAATAAATGATAATTTACTTACAACTACATTTTATTGTCGTGCAGGATATTTCAATGGAAATATGAATTGATAAACTAGCAAGTGTTAATGATATATGATCTTGGATTCTTATCAGCTAGGAAATTGTTTCTTTTAAGAAGAATAATTAGAGAATATTTTAAGTGAAACTATTTTAGCATTAAATTTCATGTTAGGATTGAAAAAAAATGGCTTATCAGTTTTTATCAATTTTTAAAATGATGTATTAATGGGCAAATAAAATATGATGAAAATTGAGATGAAGAATGATTAAAATTCTATATTATCATGAATATAGCTAACTTTGAATTGATTAATAAGTAGTGATTAATCCATGAGGATAAAATTTCTTTTCATTAAACTTAACAGTTTGATCAATTAATTTTTACAAAAAGCTTTTGAACACTTTTTTGCTGTAAAAGCTATTAGCGATCTTTTTTTTTTTTTTCATATTTATGAAGTATTTATTGATTTTTCACTTGTAATATTCGAATTAATATTTAATATCTTTAAGCATTGTGTGATTTATTTGGCCTTTAACAATAACAATAGCCTAATAATGGTAAAAACTATTGAGAATTTTTATTTTAATAAGCCTATTAACAGCTATGCATTTTTCAGAAATGTATATCTGATTGATGATGTATTTAAATAAATGATCGATATCTCTGACTGGCAATCCCATAAGTTAATCGTAATTTTACGACATTTCAACTCTTCATGACTTAACGATTTTAGGATTTATGTTCCCGTGGATTTAGCCAAGTTTTATTATTATATTTGGCCAAGATTTATATAGTAGTATTTGACCATTTATCCTCTCCTAATAATTTACAGTATTGATTGAACAATAAAATTCTCAACAATCAAATCAATATATTCAACAGGACATAAAATTGTTTTTTAACAATGACTAAATTTATAATTAATTATAAATTTAATTACTGATAGTGGAGCATTATCATAAAATTGCACATTGATAAATATCACTTCTACTAGTTTTGTCGTCAATTTATTTCAATCAAACTAAAGAGAGGTTTCTTTTTTTTTTTTTCTTTAACTTTTAATAATATTATTTTTTGGTTTGACATCACTACTGATAATGGTGATAATAAAATCAACAGTGATAATAAATAATAATCTTTTTTAGAAATTTTACTACTACTACCACCTATAAATGCTACTAATTGAGAGGTTAGCCATTTGAGGAAGGAACGTATAGCAGCGCCTAGGAACAATCAAATAAGAGAGAGTGAAGCAGTAAGAGAGAGAGAGAGGGAGAGAGAGGGTTCTCTTAGAAGAACATTTAATGCTTGCCTAGGGCTTTCTAAGATGTTTATGTAAGAAGAGGAAGAAGAAGAAGGACAAAGCAGATGATGAATAATGCCATTTGGATGCCGTAAAATGCATCCCCAAAAGGACTGCAAATGTGCATGCAATGCAGTTCTAGTGCAGTGCAAGTGCTATATTGCACTACTGCAATGCTTAAAACAAAATAATAATCATGAAAAGCCAGAAAAAAAAAAAAGGATTTCTTTTTTTTCTTCTATTACCATTTCTATTATTATTATTATTATCATTTGTTATCATATTATTATTATCATTACTTTATCATCATTATTATTATTATTATTATCAATAATCATTCTTCACATATATGTAATATCATATTGATGTGCAAAAATGAAATCGAAGTACTAAAAGTCTTTTAGCAAATAGCTATTTTTATGCATGTCCATCTCCATTTTCCTCTCTACATCTCATTCCTAAAAAGTAAAATTGAAATGAAGCAAACACAGACTAAAGCCATCATTGTGCTACACATTCGATAGATATTAGACTTACACTAACACATACATCAACATACATATAAAAATCATGCATAACGATTGAGACAGATCGATGCTTTGAAGTTGACAAAGCGCAGGTAAACCCTTTTTCTCATTTTTTTTTTTTCTGCTTATTGATAAAAAATGAAAAAAAAAAAAAAAAAAGAAAGAAAGAAGGGACAGTTTCTTCTCTGCATGATCGACAATGTGACACTTCGCTTTCTTTTTTTGAAGAGTTCCATAATCATAGTGACAAATGTTCCTCAATGCTTTAGTGTAAATGCTACTAAAAGATGAGTGTAGCGACGACGATAGTAGCTGCTGGTTGTTAGTACTTCACTCTGCTATTGTTAATTTTACTGCTAACTTTTACTTATTACTGCTAAAACTACAACTATAACTGCTAACTTTTACTTATTACTGCTACTACTACTACTCATTCTTATGTCTCTTTGTAAAAAAAAAAGCATGTAAAGAGAGATTTTATTTGTTGCTTAGAATGACGAAGGATGCTTCTAAGACTTCATCTGCACTGATACTACTACTACAGTGTTTCTACTTCTATTGATGCAATTGAAGAGAGAGAGAAGTGCTGCCAGATAGTGCGATAGATCCTTCAAAAGTTCTTTCTCCTTTTTTTTTTTTCTTCTTTTTCATTTTCTTCATCTTTCAAAGAACAATGAAATTAGATTCAAAACTCATAACCAAGTATTTCATCCTTTGATTAAAATAATTATCAATTATCGCTGCTGTCATTAGCATCATCATCATTGCTATCATTCATTATTATCATCATCATTATCATTACTGCTCATTATTATCTTCTGTTGCGCAACAATCATTAATTTTGTTATTTCACTCACAACTGCAATCATCATTATTTCTCATATTTCATCTCAAATTCTATTATTATTGCTAAACAATTTCATTTTGTAGATTTAATCAAAAATTTGGACGACGAATTTATGTTATTATTACTATTATTATTGTTATTATTATTACTGTCAATTTTCTCCTCAACAATAGTGTTAATTTTGGTGGATGGTATTCCTACAACTATTATTTCATCATCATTATCATCATCATCATCATCATCATTCTCATCATCATCATCATCACCATCACCAATCACTCAACCTTCTCCGCCGCCTAATTTTTCAAATGACCAAAAAAGCGCACATTCAGCAACATTTCCAGCTTTGCTAACACAATTGGAGCATACAGAGGAGCAAAATTGTGAAAGTCTTCTTGCATTACCAAATTTGCATTATTTGCTAGAACATCAATTGAAGCGCAATAATCCACAGCTCTTATTACTGGCGCAATTGATCGCTGAGAATCCTCACTCACATTTGCTTCATCTTCCTGCAAATGTTTCCCTAATTTTGGATTCATCATTAGCTTATAATCTATCATCACCATTATTCGTCTTACAACTACAATGCAGTCAAGTGGGTGATGACTCATTACAGCAATGGATTCCACTACTTATTTATCCAACTTCTGCTTTTCAATTTTACCTAACCGTACGTCTACGACCTTTTGACCTAAACGCTTGCACTTTATCACAATGCAGCAATACAAAGGTTATTTCAAATTAATCATCATTTTTTTTTCTTTTTCTTTTAATGTGGAATATTTTATTTTAAATTATTTTGATCAATGAAATAAATTGATTTATAGTACTGTTGATCATTTTTTCTTCAATACAATTAAATGATATCTTATAGATAAGTTGTGATTAACTTTTTTTGTTGCTAAAAGTCAAGTAAAAATGATTAAAACATTGTCACATATCAGTAATAAATTTGTGCTTAATTTTTAGCTGAATAAATTGATAAAAGAAAATGTACAATAGTTTTAATTTTTTTTTGTTGTGAAAGGAAATCATTTTATTTTTTTAAATTATTTTATTATTTTCTATTTTATCCATCATTTCTCGAAAAATCGAAATTGCTTTTTTTTTTATCATTTATTATAACCACTTTTGTAACTATTTTCTTACTAAGAAATAACAATGAAACAATTTTCAAATTGTTTAATCTAATTTCAACTTTTTCTTATCCACTTTACTTAACATTTTTTTTTTATCTACTACCACTATCAACAAGTTAGATATTCATGATAATATCATTTTTACTTTTTTTTTTTGTTATTTTTACTTTGTTGAATTTACTATTTAAAAAAATTTTTTTTTCGTAAATTTTTTTT